CATCATCATCATCATCATCATCATCATCATCATCATCATCATCATCACTCGCAGGGAAACAACTATTGGATGGGATTGCTAAGTATTGCGAAGGTGGATCGAAGATGGATGGTGGCCGAGGACGTCAAGTGATCGTGAGATCTCATGAAATCCCACCACCAACCAGTCCAGACACTCCATGGGACTGCCAAACCAAGCCCAAACTGGATCCCGTGGGATGCGAACATCCAAATACCTCGACTGAAAAAGGGACATGTCTTCGGTGGGGGTGGCCATTCTACTGAAAAGCCATCCAAAACCATTCAACCAATTGTTGATCTGATTTTAATAGTGTAATTCAAAAGTTTTAGTAAGACAATGGTTCTTCAGGATTCGAGTCATTCAACACACACACATACAGTCACATACACATCTTAAAATCAATGGTGCTTGGAATCTTCGGGTCTTCTCCCCGTTCGACTCTGCAGACCCCAACTCTGAGCGCCGAGCGCGCCCGCCGAGCGCCCGCCGGCTGCGCAACCGCCGAGCGCCCGCCGGCCTGACTTTTGCAGGCGCCACACGCTATGCCAGCAGGTGCCCAAGTAGTAGATGGAGGCCGCCTGGACTGTGGAGGCCAATGGGGAACGTCATAATAGGGCAACGTCGGGGTCCCCTCCAACCAATGGGTCTTGGTCTACTTTTTCCCTTCCTCCGTGTCGAACTGTTTTCGTCTCCCTATTTTGGAATTCGGTCGTCAAACAACCCGTTCGGGTGTGAAATAGGCCACTCCGGACGCATGGACGACACACTTTTGGGATCACCGATCATCCGGACCGAACAACGGAAGTTGATGGACCAAGTTGGACTTCAGCGCCCAAAACGCAACAGAGTCCACCGGAGATCCCAAAAAGCCTCATCTACTTCACCGTACGCCGTACGCCAATGTTCCCCCTGTACAGCTGGCAAATGCCCACAAACATAACAAACAAACCCAGGGCATCCAGTTACCACTATAGCTGGTTACCAGTGGTTCCAAAGACTAAAACCATAGACCTAGAATCCCTGGTTCCTTATAGGGGTTTGCCTGGGATGCACTGGGAAAAACAACGAGTTGTTCTCCAGCTTCGCCACCAGGCCATAGAGGTTCGCCGGAACCGCCGCAGGCACCGGGCGAAAGAGGCCGTAGATGGTCTGCGACGCGCAGTTCGCCTGAGTGACTTCGGGTGAAGAACAAGGAAACGCAAAGGGTATCATAGGTTTCTGCTCGGTAGTTTCAACGAAAACAAATATGATGAGTCAGTGGGATTTCCATCAGCTCAAAGTAAAGGTTGAACATAAAATATCTGAAACCACCACCTATAGTTTCTCTATAACAGATTGCAGTACCTGTCTGACACTGGGGCAAGCCTGCCAAGCGTAAATGATCTGAAACCACCGCCTACGATAGGACATACCGCCTTCCAACTAACTAACTGAATGTTGATGTGTCCTCCAATTTCCTCCGATTTCGTCACGTGTTTTTCGTGGTTCTTCGATGGTCTCCCTATAGTCAAAATACAAGATCATGAGAATCGTTCTATTTAGGATCATGTTCATATCAAAAGCCATCAAAAGCCATCATAATGTTTTTTGTTGGTCCATACAGTTACACTCCTTGAAAGAATCATGTTTTCGCTGAGTTCACCCTCTTGCTTGGTTTTCAGAGGTTTTCATCCATTCAGGGCCATACCATCCATGAGATACCATGAGTACAGTATTTCAGGGAGTGTACATGAGGCAGAGTCCGCTGTTTGGTACTTGATTTGTTGGTGCGTTCTGTCTTGGTAAGAAAACAAGCAAACGTATCAACATGGTTCAATTTGCTACGCTGAAACCCAAACAATGGTTTTTGCAGCAAGTCAAGTACACAGTCCTTCCATTCTTCCCAAAAGCGACGACTCGGTATCTCCTTCCCTCAGTATAGGACCTTCGACTCCTACACCTTCCTGCCACTCCTGGGCCACTGCCGCCTCAACTTCCACCACGGCGCATGCAGCGCCAGCAGATTCGCCGGGTTCACCACCGCCACGCGCGAGGGCGTGGAGTGCAGCGGCACCACCTGCGCCAGCGGCGCGGAGAGGAAGAGGATCGCCAGCAAGGTGCCGACCTGAATCGCCGCTGGCGAAGCGCACCTGAATCGCCAAGTAGCGATGGTGGTGGAAAGAGATTTTGGTGGCTCAGACTCTTGTGGATAGTGGATGATATTGGATAGTGAAGTAGTGAACTAGAGCCTCACTTTAAAGGAACAAGGGAAATCACCCCCCTTGCCATGTGACCAAGCGATGGAACATGGGACGAGTCGTTCTCTGTGGATCGGCAATGGCTGTCGAACGCTTTCCGCATGTTACATGAGTGCAGTGCTATGGCGGTTCGGGAAAACACCTCCATGTCTGCTTGGGATCTGGGCCCTGATGGAAAGGGCGGAAACCTGCACCGTTTTCTCCGTTTTCCCCCTGCGCACCGGGCTCGGGAGTCTAACTTCGGGCTCCGTCGTCCCCGTCCGGGTCGCTGTCTCCAGGAAGAGGTCGCCACTCGCCTTCACTTCGACGGCCAAACCTCGAGAACACCAGCGTGGTCGCCATTGGCGACCGTTTAGTGGTGAACGAAGTGTACAGCTAGCCTGGATTCATGACAACCTCGGGTTACTTCTGCATCAACTCCTCGAAGAAAAGGTTGAAAACACATAAAGAAATAAACACACAAAAAAGAAAACACAATCAATATGGTGTGCATGTCTGCAAAGAAACAAAACAGTTCTTCAAAAGTTCTTTGCCCTTTTTTTTTCGACCAAAAAACCGTGGTCTATCCGTCAAAAAGCCCCCATCCCCACTCCGTCGATCCCGGGCGCCGGTCCCGTCGCCCAGCTCCACGGCCATGGCATGGGTTCCGAGGTCGGGTTCCCGGGTGTTGCAGTGTAAAGTTCCGTTAAAACACATGGGTTGGTTCGGAACCCAAAAAGGAACACTATAATAGTTGGAAGATGTTGGAGGGGAGATGAGTTTTGGCTGGACTTCTTGCATTATTGGCATCTCTGGAGCTAACCCTCTGGTTCGAAACCGCCAGATTTGACTATTCTTGCGGGGCTGTACAAATAAGAGCCTACACGAACAGGAGGAGTTTGGCGACCTTTTTCCTGTTGGAACAAGGAGATTTGGCCAATCTGACACTGGGCAAGCCTCTTGGCTCTATGGCATTGCATGCTGTTGACACAAACCTATTGCCATAAGCCGCTTGAGCCTCTGGTTCAGCTATTGTCGGCGTGATGCAATATAAAAGAACACCTCTGTACACAAGTAACTGGTTTCGAACACGCTTTGGAGCCCGAAAGTCCAGCTTTCATCCCGTAAATTGTGGTGCTCTCGTGCTTGACACATGTCCTAAAGATAGCCTCCCCCCAAACAGGCAACAGCCTAACTCGCCATCCCTCCCTTCGCCGCCATGCTAAGCTCACGCACAGCGTCATCACGTGCAAATCTCCACACGGCGCCACCTGAGACCAAGGAGACCAAGAACTTGGATTCTGCGGCTCATCCTGGAACCTGGAAACAAAAGGGCCCATGCCAGGGGATTCACCTTCCCCTGATCTGCCAAACCGAACCCGCATGGATGGGGCGGGAACCCCCTAGCCTCCCGGCAGCCCGTCAGTCTTGAGCCACATGTCACACCCTTAAAGGGGTGCTCAAGGGAGATCCACTGCATGTAGTGCAGGGTAGTCTATTGGAGACCCCGTAACAAAGGTGCTGCAAGGATATTTCTGAGTCCAATGATCTTGAGAAGGGCACATGTGGCTCAAAATCTGCACCCGAAGTCACCAGAGCGGATCAATCAATCTGAACTTCTGGACATTTTGTCCCATCTGTTTCGTCCATTCTGGTGGATCTGGGTCTGCCTATCTCGACATGTCGCCAAATGAGTGTCCAGTCATGACTCATACGTTTTTACACCGATATAGACCCCCAATTAGATAGAAAAGTAGATCCCGACGATCAATCTATTGGACACCATTGAACTATCTAGCTATGGGGACCACTCTTGATACAGTATAGCCGTATAGCACTGAGTGGTGGATGACTTCCAGGCCAGGCTCTCTCACCAGGCCAGGCCAAGTCACCACCCAGCGTCCATTCACTGGCGCAGCCAGAGGCCTGACTCGACGCCGTGCAAGCGGGGTGTGCGGTGAGCCGCCCCAGTCCGGTCACTGAACACCCCTCTTGGTAGGTGCCGCTCACGCCATTCGAGCTCGAGCTCGTGGCTCCCAAAATCCTACGAAAGATGCTTCAGTTTGGGCAAATCCCCATGTCAAACCACCCCTCAGGAGTTGCCAAAGGTGGGGTACAGTGACTCGAATGAGCGCGTGTCATTGACATGGTCTACAAATATGTCCATCTGAAACGGAAGAAATGGGTGGGGGCCATCTACGCTGAAACTATGATGTACGGGTCCAGGCAATTGTCACTAGAATGACTTACCACATCTTTCACCAGACATCCTCACGTGTCCATTGATTGAACCAGGGCCATCCTCCCTTCAATTTGAGGCCCCTGGCAGCCAGAGATTCCGCAACGGCGCCTATGGACAGTCAAACACGCGTGACACGCGTGCGTGCACTGTCTGTGCACTGTCTGTGCTTCACGCGTGCGTCGTGGACGATGACACCTTCTTCAAGCTCGGCATTCACTCCCAAACAAATGGGTGTTCCCAATATTCATGTGCTATTGGACACCGTTTCTATCTTTCTCTACAAAAAGCATCACTCCCTGGGCATACTCATGGTTACGTGGATGGCATGCCGTTGACCATGAAGTCCTCTACAATCAGGTGGTGAACTCCACTTCCTTGATTATTTCAAGGAGTGTAACATAGTGTAACTTGACGGACCAAATATAACCCATTCTGATGGCTGATACGAACCATCCATTTCAGGACGGTTCTCATGGTCTTAGCCGTCTTCGGGCATTGCCTGACATGGAGACCCACATCTAAGAATGATTGCTTGCTTTAAAAGGAAAACCAATTTCATCAGTTTTGCTTCTCTTTTGAGTGGCATCCTAAATGCGCTCGGAGTTGCCTGGTTGACCCACGAACAAATTGTGACGAACCAGCTATGCGAGCCTACCGCCTATCACGTGTTGGGTTTGGGCAGCAAACAAAAAGATTCCCTCAGCAATTCAGCAAGCTGGGCCATGGTCTTGGAACACATCCAACATGATCATACCCAAATCATGCGAATTGACAAATGGCTGACATTGCACACTGTTCATGACTCTTGAGTGATAGGTCTGTACACATCCACCAAGCGCCACCACATCCACCAAGCGCCACCTTATCCACCATGACATCTCCTCTTTTCCATCTGCTGTCTTCCATCTCGCCACACCCCACATCACCCCACCTCTTACCCTCTTCCTATACCCTCCCCACCGTCTCCTCGCGACTGGTGAGGAAGTTCTCCTTCGTCACCGGCACGCGCACGCGGCCCAAGCAATTCTCGCCACCCTCGGCCGTTTGGGCCGAGCGTGGGGAGCGTAGAGAGTCGCCGCCGATGGGGCGTGTGGAAGGGAACGGAACGAACACCGAGACAAATGTCCCAAACCGTTTGGGGGATTTCTCCCCGATTCGGGAAAAACACATCTTACTTGAACAAAAACAGGAACATGAGACAGGTTGCAAGAGACAGGTACCAAGCAAGTCGAGGATCATGGCAATGTTTTTTTTGGTCGATCAGGGATGGGGACAAAGCACAAAGCTCACTCCAATTTGGATCAACAATTGCTTTTTGGTGGATGAGACGGTCTACCGTTGTTGACCATGGGTTTTTTCAACTGTCAAGCGAGGCCCAAAGCAACGGTGTCAATATCCAATGAGGTAGCACCAGCTTTAGCAGGGAGATCCTACTTGATCCCTGGGACTCTGCAATGTCTTTAGCCGCTTTTGTTCATCTCAGAAGGTTCTGCTCAAGAACCCCAATATCATCAAATTATCCAATCTCAGAGTTCGACCAACTCCAGGTTGATGACCTCCAACTCCAGGAAGAGATCAGGCATCCTGAGCGTCATGAAAAAACTGAGCGCATCTGAGACTGGATGCTTACGCATGGATCCCGAGCATGAACGGCCCTTTAATGTAAACTCGACATTTCAACCCCGCAAGTCTGAAGAGGCTTTTACAATCATTTATATATATATATATATCGATCAATAGTCTTATCATCCCCCTTACCTAGCTAACACTGAAACATCATCAAATTATATAGGCTATTGAACAGTCTACATTGAACATCTGGAGACGATCAAAAGAGGCTCCCATGACTATCGCTATACGGAGTCTCTGACGGAAGATCGATCTCTGACGGTGCGACCTCCGATCGATGCCGAGAAAAACGAGACACACACACACACCATTCACCAAAGGATTTGGAGCTTCACCCATGGGACCAGGGCCCAAACATGTCCCCAAACCCGGGAGGCTTTGGGATGTGGGGACGAATGGTAGTCCACCACATGTCCCTGTCATGTGGTTTCTCAGCATTCCGCAGCATCTTACATCTCCAAGAATGATGCCCAAATCATACATCATTCTCCAAGAATGATGAATCTCCAAGACATAAGAGGGAGAAAAAAAACGCATAGAATCTCTAACATCTTGGAGCTCCAAATTCCTTCGTCTTTGGACGCCTCGCTCGGTCTGGCCAAGCGACACGTCAGCCTCGAAGCTCATGCTGAATGCCCAGCCTGGTCCGTGTGCGAAACGCAGAGCGAACACGGAGGGAACATGGCATACTGCCATGGCAGGTGCCATGGCACAAAATCGAGCAACGTGGAGTGTGTGGATCGATTGGAATGAGAGAAAACTCCTTTGGGATCAAAAAGGAGTATTCTTGGTATAACAAGTTCTTTGTTTTTGAATGAGACCAACAAAGTTGTTTAAGATGTTTGTACATGATGGTTTCTAAGAACTCTAGCAGAACCGGACTTCGGCTACTTCAGCTGGCTTATCTGGTGGACCGACAACATGCCAACATTTATCTGGTGGAGTCTGGTGGATTCCGCCCTACGGTCAAAATATCTCAAGATCGATATATATATATATATATCACAGCTTAAACGCGCCTTTTAAAGGCCACAGCAAGGCTAAA